ATCTATCATCTATCTATCTATCTATCTATCTATCTATCTATCTATCTATCTATCTATCTATCTCTCCTCATCTCTCCAACTCTCTATCTCTCCTCTCTCTTATCTCTCCATCTATCATCTATCTATCTATCTATCTATCTATCTATCTATCTATCTATCTATCTATCTATCTATCATGATAAATATGAGTCGGCTGCCAAGGGTCTGAATGGTGATCATGTGACCATGGGGGAATGCTACGACGGTCGTAAGTGTGAAAAAATAGTGCTAACTCCCTGTTTTTCAGCACGGTTGTAAGTACGAACAGTCCCTCAATCAAGGATTTTAAGTCAAGGAACACCTGTATAAAAGTTAAAGTTTTCCCTTGCACATCTGTGCTAGTCGTTCCCGACTCTAGGCGCACAGAACATGGTTTACCTTCCCAGCAAAGGTGGTTCCTATTTTTCTACTTGCATTTTTTACCTGCTTTCGAACTGCTAGGTTGGCAGAAGCTGGGACAAGGAACAGGAGCTCACTCCGTTACGCGGCGCTGGGGATTCGAACCTCCAAACCGCCGACCTTTCTGATCGACAAGCTCAGCGTCTCAGCCACGGAGCCACTGCGTCCCTTTTACTACCTGTATACGTTCTGCAATTTTACTACTTGTATGCTTTTTGCAATTCCCTTGATCTTCTATCTTATTTTTCCCTCCAAATTTCTTTCAATTTCCCTCAGAGTTGAGCGAAATAAGGGAAAGCAGAAGCCGCAGAGGGCTGTCGGTAAAATGCAGGAATTTTTTTCAACCTCGCACAAATGGACACTAAAAGGAACAAAACAAAAAAAAACAGGGTAGAAATGCTACACGTTCCACCCATATAAAATTCATCCAAATTCCCCTTTTCCTTATGGGTGGGAGGGGGAAAATCTCATAAAAGCAGAGGGGCTTTGATGAAACCCAACGAGGAAAGGAAGTAAATGCCTGAGCCAGCACTCCTGCTTTCCAATTATCTGCATTTCCCCCAGAAGACCTCGTAAAAAAGGCGAGCATTTATAATTCATGGGCGTCTCGGCAAGCAGGCCTTTGTAGGATTAAGTCGGCATAAATTTCAAGGGAGGAAAAAGAACCAGGACGCCTGTTATGGAAGGAGTCAAGAAACCTTACGGAACAGAATACGGAATAGCAAGAGTCGGAAGGAAGGGACTTGGAGGTCATCTAGTCCAACCCCCTGCTTGGCGGGAGACCCTGAATCATTCCAGACAAATGGCTGTCCGCTTAAAAACACTTCGGTGATCGGCAAGATGCCGCCAAGGAAATTAAAAGAGGAGCGAAAAGAGAGTGGAGTTTGTAGGAGACCGTTAGTTCGCTTCATTGGTTCGTGACTCTCCGAGACTCCTTGCCACGTTCTGCAGATATGGGCCTGGCAGCTCTCCCAGCCAGATAAGGTCTTTGTGACTTGGAGGTCATCTAGTCCAACCCCTTGCTCAGGCGGGAGACCCTGCACCATTCCAGACAAACTTCTTAAAAACACTTCGGTGATCGGCAAGATGCCGCCAAGGAAATTAAAAGAGGAGCGAAAAGAGAGTGGAGTTTGTAGGAGACCGTTAGTTCGCTTCATTGGTTCGTGACTCTCCGAGACTCCGTGCCAGGTCCTGCAGATATGGGCCTGGCAGCTCTCCCAGCCAGATAAGGTCTTTGTGACTTGGAGGTCATCTAGTCCAACCCCCTGGTCAGGCGGGAGACCCTGCACCATTCCAGACAAACTTC